TGGCGGTGTTTGGCCTGACCGGCTGGTGATGTGCATTCGACACCGCCAAACGCCCCCCTGGACGGAACCCGAGACCGCTGCCCCCCCCATCACCCCCGGCACTGCGTGTGCCAGCCAGCTGTGCTGCGCCACACAGCGCCACGCCATCCCCCCACTACACTGTGTTTTGGATGTCCCGCGGGGCCCTGGGCTCGTTCTCCTTCGGGCTTGGACAGCCTGGCGCCGTTTGCTTGAGGACGCGTGCTAAAGCGCCATGTCGGCACGGTTTGCCCACGGGCGTGCCTGCTGGTTGGGTTTTCACCGCGCGATGCTACAGGCCCGCCCACAGGGAGTCTCTGACGCCCCGCACAGCATGCCTGGTCCCCAAGCACAATCTGTGAGTTTTGCCCACAATCCTGTGATCAGGGCCTGTGTGGAGGGCGGCTCACCACCGGGTGCAACTGCACACGTCCCTCTCTGCGCTACAAGTCATGGTCGCTGATGACAGGCGCTGCGGGATCCGTTGAGAAGGTTGAAGGGAGGCCGACGGGCGTCTGGGCCACTGCCGGCAACCGTGTGCCGCCAAGCTTGCCATCATGCACACTTCATTTTCACGGCGCATGCCTTGTGCCACTGCGGTTCCATCCAGCACTCGGCTCTTATCGCACCAACCCGGCCAGGATCTGCCATGCCAACGCAACAGCAGGCGTGCAGCACCGGCTGTTGGTGCGCTCAGGCCGTCCTCTCGAAGACGGCACCTGATGCGATGATGAGACACGCAGTGACATTGCCAACATCGCCTGTAGCTTGCTGTGCCTCTTCAAATTGCAAGCCACGCAACAGGCGCCGACACCTAGGCCAACTCTTTCCTTGGTACACATGTCCATGGGCGGCGCCGAACACGCACGCGCAAGCATGGCTGGCGGCCGCCGGCGGCAGGGTGCCAACGCTTTGGCGCAAGGGTGGCGGATGCCCGCTGCTGTCGATTGCCGCACCTCTCTCGTTGTCGCGGTTGTCGCCCACGCCTGTTGTGTTCAAAGGTCGGCCGGCGATGGCGCTCCCCCTGCTGACGCGCTGTCCGCGCCGCTGCCTACTCACTGCTCACTTGAAACCCGCCTCATGGCTTACTGCCTGCCACGCGTACATCCATGCGGAGCGCCAGCCCCAGCGTTGCTGTACGCCCGGTCACGCTTCTCGTGCCTGTTCGCATGGCAGAACAGGCAGCCAGGATTCTTTTGTTGCGCATGGCTGTTGCGCCGTTGCGTCTCCTTGCCCCTTCGTCCTTTGTTTCTGGTGAAGAAAGCACTGTGCCATAACAGGCATGAGACATAGCGCTGACATCGGCACCGCATTGGTTGGGAGCATCTTTGTCCAGATGCAATCGCTTTCCATCAGAGTGCCCATTTTCCCTGGTGCGTTACAAGCACCCCCTGTTTGTGGCGTGCTCCACCAAGCCGTGCCGCACAAAGACTCTTGGCGCGGGGCCCCCGCTCATGCGTCCGTTGAGTGCGAGCCGTGCGCGGCTAGGTGTGGCGCCGCAAAATCACCTTTCTTGCAATCCAGTACAGGCTGAATGGGCCGCCAGCCCGGCCTCGCCTGCCCATCTTGGCAAACAAGTCTGTATTGCCTGGCGAAGCGCGGGTCGGACTGCTGCTGCCAACTGGTGGCTCAGGTAGGCCCCTGTGAGTTTGCAGGCTCAACTTGCAACAAAAGAGCGCTCGCTTACTTTTCCTGAGAAAAAACTTCCAGCCAGGTACTTGAAAAACAAACGTGTCAGGGTTGGTGAGCAAGCACGCGACGGTGTTTCGACCCGCATGTTGGGTTGAGTGCCTGCACAACATGATGAGTACAGGCCGAGGGTGCTGAAGGGCAGAGGCGTCAAAGGTGCAGCAGGCTAGACTCGTTGAAACAACAGAAATAGATTATTAGTACACCTCAACTACATCGGAGACATAGTCGGCCGTTACTGTCTCACAAGTGTGAATTGGCAAGTGTGCAGCAAGCAGCAGAGTCCCTGTAGTGCGTGGGAACCTTGGCTTTGTGTTTCGCAGGTCACACTTCACAGTTATGAGCCGCGCGCTTCGAAGACCGGGCGCGGCTGGGGTATCCCTGCCCTTACCCGCTCCGCCGGGACTGTCACAAATCACCTGAGCGTGATGGCGAGTGGATTGGAGCGGCAGAAGCGGCTTGAGCTTGGGTTACAGACAAAAGCGGCAAAGGTGCATAGTACGTGCATTGATGATGCAAAAGGCCAAGTTCCCTCGTGCCCGACTGTGACACACGCCATCGCCTTGGCGGTTTTAAACAAGCTTGTCAGCCCCCTCAATCAACCACCATTGCCTTGCATTGCCCGGTTGGCTTCTATGGGTTTAGCATGACATTGTATTCTGATCTAGTTCCTGTGAACGGGTGCTGCATGCCACTGCCAGTGGCAAGGCAGCTCAAGGCACCAGTGGCAGTGCAGTCCGGCACTGCCAGTGCCCTCGAATTCATCAATCCAGATTGTACAGTATTGATTGCGTGACATGCGAGGCGCGGACTCTGCTTTTGTAATCAACCACTTGTCAAGGGAGCTTGTGCGTAGTCGCAGTGTGACCCGTAGTCGTAAATTACATTTAGACCGACATTGACAGACAGCTGGGGGCTGCCTAGTGTGACCGCCCAGCGGACGGCACAGCACTGCTGCACGGGGAGGGGTGCAGCAGAAACTTTCATACCTGATAACTCATGCTAGGCTTAAAGACCAGCCGCACAATCAGTCAAACTGTGCAGATCATGACCTTGCCCACAAAAGTATGCATGCATTTGCCTTTTAGTGTGGGGATGTGTAAGATAAGGGTCTGACGGACGACTGTAGCGCAAACCTAAAACCGTCGTGTACGGGGATTTTCAATTACAGTACTGCTTGCATTCTACGACAGAATTGTCTGTATCAGGTTGAGTTTGGGATACGAATGTCAATGGTCAAGGCTAGAATGTGTTCATGTGCTCTGGTCAAGTGCGTTGAAAATGTTTGGACGGCCGCTCCGCGGCTGCCCGCCCCTGCATAAACGCAGACAAGTGCGACGAATGATCACAGGCAAGAGGGTACAAACCTGATAATTCCGGGTCACCAGGTGACCGTCCGTCGGTTGCTTCGTCACTGCGGCGGCCAGCTTCAGCGCAGCGTCGTCGTGCTGTTTGGGCAGTGAGGTGCTCACCACCCTCTTGAAATGTCCACTCCGTCGTCTTTCGTACACTCGCTTTGTGCACTCTGCTGCTTGCCGCACTTGTTCCTTCGGATCCCCGGTGAGACGGTGACGGCCGACTACGACTCCAAGGTAGTTGAGGTATCCTTTTATTTCGTAAAGAACCATTGTCAAACTGCAACCCATCCGCCGCTTATGTCCTACCGGTAGGCCAGTCACCGGTTTGCTGATCCGTGACGAGATCCTAGTCGCGTGTGAAGGGGCTCACCTGCTCTGGCTAACTCGCGCCAAGACATGAGACGCGTTCAAGCGATTTGCGGCTCCAGTGGCCACGGGCTCAGCGCGCGGCGGCAGGCTGGGATGCTGGCCAGCCGCGTGGCGCGACAGGCCTGGCCAGCCCCGCCGTACCGCGCCTTGTGCCGTGCCAATGCAACGGGCAAGGCTGCCACAGTCCCCACATTGGGCCAGAAGCTTCGCGGACATGGGCCTGATGGCTGGCAAGGTGGGCACAAGGCTGCTGGGCCTCAGGCCAGCCGTGCTCAGGCCCAAAGACAGGAGTACGAGGCCCCTATCACTAATCACCCAGGACTGAGCCAACCCCTCTTCCACCTTGTATCTCATGTGCTGGCGGCCGCCCCTGCCGCGCCGCACTGCGCCCACTCCCTGAGAACCTGTCCCTCACCATCGCCCCACTGTCCCGTCTCACGCCACATACATGCACACACCGTCCAGGCGCCGGTTACAATTATGACAAGGCGGCGCCACAGCTGGGCCCTGAGCTGCGGGAGCTCCTGGTTCACTACGGCCAGCTGTGCGAGGCAGGTGCCGCCTCGACGGACTCAGCGCTGCGGTCGATGCGGGGCGGCATCGAGCGCGCGTGTGATGGCGGCGCCGTTGCCGACTGCATGCAGTCTGAGCCGGGCAGCCTTGCTTGCTGACCTTTGTGCGATTCCGCGCACGCTGTGCGCGCACCCAATGCAGGCCACCTATGACCGCCTAGGTCTCGACCCCGGGGACCCCAGCTGGGGTTACGCCACAGTCCCTGCGGACCAACTCATCGCGTACCTCACACAAGACTACCCCCTGGCACCCAACGCCAAGAAGGACGAAGCCACTCCGCTTGGCACCAAAGACATGTGAGAGGCGTAGCGCCGGCCCCCAGTCAAGGTCCATGATTCAGCTCAAAGGGTCGCACCTGTATGTGGGAGGCCCAAGGTGGCCAGTCTGGCAGCGCGACTCATCCTGCATTAAAGCAGCGGCAGCCGCCCGCTGCAGGGCGTGGGCTGTATGGAGCATTGGCTTGTGAAATTGCTGTCGGTTTTGCAGGCCACTATTGGTTTGCATGCTCAGATTGCGGCGTGCAGTTTTAGCATGCATGCCGCGCCTGCCCTCATGCCGCAGCAGCACTCCCTTGCCCCCCTCGCTTGCCTCCAGCATTTGCGCACACACTGGACGTGCCCGCCGAGGTCGCAACCAGTCTCCCCCATCTCACCGCCCCCCTGACCCGTGATCTCCCCCACCCGTCCATCCGTCCTTACGTGCCCCGTGGCCGCTGCACGCGCACGCGCAGCTACTCCCTGCCACCGCCGACCAGCGACGGCCTGAGCCCGCTGATCTACGCGCTCCCTGGCCAGCACCACGCCCTGGACGGCGGCGGCCAAGAGGGGAAGTTGTGGGGCCCCGTCGAGCGGCTCGTCGACTTCCTGTTCAGCAAGGCATCCCGCATCCCTGTTGAGGTCATCTTCGGGTCCAGGCCCCTGTTTGTAGAGGACCCTGCTACTGGGCGCGGGAAGGTTGAGCGGCCGGCGTTCATGGGGTACGTAGCGGTGTCAACGCCGCAGGGGCCGGGCCAAGAGGTGGACGTCGCGTTCGTGTGGCGGGGGACAATCTACAAGGAGGAGTGGGAGAGCAACTTTGCACAAGACAGGCTGGTGTGCGGGTAGCATTGCGTGGGGCGACGTGACGCGAACGGTCGGTGCCCTCAGCTCTTCGGCGCCGGTCTGCGTGCATGCGGCTGGGGTGCCACAATCACCAGTGCCGGCGAGACGAGTGAAGGCATGGCTCCATCGCCAGGGGACACATGCAATGTCTACCACATGCAATGAGCTGTTGCCACCTCCGGCTCAACTTTCTGTGTTGTGCTCACGAAACACCGGAGCCCTCGCTGTCTCTGTGACGCCCGTGTCTCCGCGTCGATGCCTGCCCCCTTTCCCTTGCAGCAATGCCCTGGACTAGTCTGCGCTCGCTGTGATCCACCACCTGCTGCCCACTCTGTCCTCAAAAACCCCAGCGCCCGCCGCGTGCACGCTCCTCGCATCGCCGATCCACTTTTTATGCGTATGCCAACCTCGGCCCCTGCACCCACCGCAGGTCAAGTTTGACCCGGAACACCACGACGACGACGAGACCGCCAAACCCTGGGAGGTCGGGGTTCACGACGGGTTCGGAGATCTGTACATCCGCAAAGCCCAGCAGCCAATTGGGAACACCGGCGAGCTCGGGCAGCCGGAGTCGCCGCACCAGGTGGGCTGACCTTGACAGCAGCGCCCCTGCACGCATACTCAGGCCGCGCTGCATCACCGGAGCCGCGCCGGCGCCCCGCTCTCGCCTTGCACCGTGATGGCTTGCTGAGCCGCTGTGGCTTGTAACAATAAGTGACAAAGTCGCTTCGCCGCCTCCCCTATTGTGTGCTGCTGGTCCGCTGATGCCCTTCAAGGTCGTGCGCGCGTGGCTCGCCCACCTTTTGAGGAGCCACAACGTGACCACGATCAGCACCACGGGCCACAGCCTCGGTGGGGCGCTGTCAACGGTCTCGGCCTTTGCCATCGGACGGGAGCTCGATCGCCTGTGGGCCGTGGGCAATGAGAGCGAGCGCGCCGACTTCAAGGTGCAGAGGGCTCTCCAGGGCTTCGTGTGCGCCTTTGGGGCTGCTTTGACGGTCGTCGATGGTAGCCGCATGGATCTCTGTCGCACAACGGCAGTGTAGCCGTGCCGTCCTTTGGGCGCCGCCGGTTCAGCCTGGACCCCCTCAACCCTGAGCCCTGGGCACGGTTGCAGCCGCATAACGCTGATGCCCCGAAGTCTGATTCCATCAGCCTAGATGGCCCTAGCTGCGGGCGACCGAAAGTCGCCGCGTCAACCGTCCTCATGATCTCACTCTCTCAGGTCAAGGACAAGCCGACGGTCACGGCGTTTGCGTTTGCGCCGCCCAGGGTGGGGAACTTCACCTTCCTGAAGGAGTTTTCCGACACGCACAGGGTCAAGGAGCTCAGGGTCTGCAACAAGGGGGACGAGGTGCCACGCATCCCTGGTGCGTGGCCAGGGTGGCCGAGCCAAGTCTGCCACGTGTGCAAACATTGTTGTGTACTTTTGCCATCTCGATAAATCCACGGCGTCCGTGCGAGAACGCCCCACACACACCAGGCCCTAGGGGCTGGACATTGGCATGTCGGCATGTGCTGAGAGGGCGTCGATGCGATTGCGCACGCAGACACATACATGTGTGCATTGTTGCACAATTTACGCACGCGCTCTCTCGCTCTCATCAAGACCGGGCGCATCCATTTGGACGCTTTCAGAACCCCCTGTCCCTCCCAACTCCAGGGTTCTGGGTGCAGACCCTCACGTTTTTGGCCGACCGCGTCCACTGGGACGCGTACAGCGACATGGACTCGCGAGGGGCGCGCATCTTTGCGCAGTTGTACTATGCGGCAACGAAGGTCTCCGCCAAGCTGGGGTTCCCTTCGAGCCGGTGGGGTTACTTCCACGTTGGTGCCATCCTTGAGATCGACTCTGACAAGGACTTTGGCGGCGTGGGGGTCACGCCCGCGGGGAGCTTCGGGCCGCACCACAACCTCGAGGTGGGTTCTTGATCTGATTGCC